TCAGACTCGTGCTTAAGCAACATAAATTAATTATACGAACAGACACATGCTGTCACCACAAAACACTAACGGTTAATAACAAAATAACCACAATTTAATAAAAAAAAATGTGTTTTTTCTTTAAAATTCTTAATAAATTTGAACAGCAACAATTAAATTCATTTAATAATCTTCACTCTTTACCACAAATTGCTGGGCACTTTAAAGCCACAGCCTGGAGGCATTTTGTGCATAAAACTTACTCACCGTAAAATTCCAGCTAAAGCATTTGTAAATTTACTGAAATAAGAAACTGCCTACCTCTAAACTTTATTGAATTTTAACAACATTTTAAACTTTCACTTAACTTCATTGTTTGGCAAATTTATCAAAGCAAAGTTCAATGAAACCCCAAATCCTAAAAATCAAAAATTCAAAAATCCAAATATCCAAACAACCTAAAATCCATAAATGCCGAAAAAAGCGTTAAAGCAAACCAAGCAGCAAATAATGAAAACATTAAAAAGCGTTTAATCTAATGTTAGCATCAATTGCGGAAATACTTTACCAAGTAAACCCAACTATTATTGCTGGACCACAGTTAAAATAGCTGCTGGCTACTGCTTCACTGGTTACTTTTCAAAGGTATCTCTGCCTATCTCCACAATAGCCCGCCATACATCTCTGGCAACAATAAGCATTTTTCTATTATAGGTTTTATTATTCGCAGTTTTTCGGGGGAGCATAATTATTCATTTTTTCGTTTTTGTTTGCGGTTTGTGTGGCGAGTGGTGAGTGGTGAGTGGAGAGTGGCGAGTGGCGAGTGGCGAGTTGCGAGTAGCGAGTGTAATGAAATGTGCTTAAAGCGAAATTTTTGCCTAATTACAATACATTGGCATTACAATGGATTTATGTAGAATGAAAGAAAAAAGTTTTCAATAAAAATTGATGTTAATAGATTTGCTATGGTTGAGGAAGATGTACTCCATATTGGTATCTGCATTTTGTGGTATGTATATACTTTGACGGCGCGTGCCATAGGCATGAATTGCATGTGGTCGATAAACGTTTCGGTGGAATGTTGCCATTGTTGGCATAATTTTGGGTTACTGTTTGAGACCATACAGACGACTTAACATATTATAAATAAATATTTAAAATCTTATATAAATCAAATTGAGATTAAAAGGGCGAAAATATTTATTGCATGAAATAAATTCGATTCTAATATTATGCACAAATAATAACTAAATATAAGTGATCTAAATTAATTTCAACTTAATTCAATTCTATATTACTTTTAACGTGTTTTTTGGCCTTATAAACTGCCTTTAAAATATTAAAAAAAATTTAATTTATAAAGGCTCAACTCAATATAATGACTGTTCTCAATAATATCCTTCAACCAAAAATCTTCTTATATCAATATAATTTATTTTTTCAATTTTATTTTGAACTTAGACTGCTAGGGAACTTAACAAAATTAATATAATAACCTACAATGTTCTTATAGCAATCTCTCATTATATCATGTAATCACAAACTTAGACTGTTTGGAAATTTAATAGAATCAAGTCAAGAAATTAAAGATATTTAGTTCAATTCAACTAGTATTAGACACAATTGTCATAAATAATTTAATGAAGAAATAATTTAGTCGAATTAAAAACATAGTCGAATTATGTAAATTATTTAAATCATAATTTTTAAACACACCTTTGTTTAATGTATTATAGAAAATATTTGAATTAAAATAATGTGGAACTAATACAAAATAATGCAAAATTAATGTATTATATTAATTATTATACGAAAGATTTATCGTACTCCATAGCCTTTCACGTGTGTTGTACTGCCTATCTAAAAACTATATCCAGCTCCCTGAACTTATGCTATTTTTAAGATCAATAATATCGTTATATATTAGACCTCATTTGATTAAATGATCCGTTTTGTAAAAATTGGAGGACATAAATACATCAGTTAATCTTGATGTTCATGGTTGATTGGTTAATCAAAGATAATTCAAATTTACTGAAATATCTGCTAACAAAGTGGAAGCTAATGACATTAACTATAATAATGGAATTATTAATTACAACAAAAAAATAACTACAATAACAACTAAAAATAAGAATTTCAGAACTCTAGTGCGAAATTGCCTAAGTCCCTGCATAAATTTATGGCAGCAGAATACGACCAATTCTCGTTGCAACTTTATGGCCTTCTCAGCAGAAGGAGAATTATATAGACTAAAATAACAACAATAAGAACAATAATAATAATAAATTAAATTATTTGTGAATAAAGTGACAGATAAAATGAAGATCAATTTTTGCTTAAAATTCATTGACTTCAAAAGAGAACGTATCCTGAAATTTCTATCGCTGATCAAAATGCAAGAACAACAAGACAGATTCTGTCCGATAACAAAGTAAGTACCACTAAAAATATTGCTACAGAAATAGGATTACGGTTGGGGCTAGAGGATTTTTAGATAAGTTCGGATACCAAACAAATTTTTTTCAAAAATATTAGAGAAAACAATAATAGAGAGAGAATATCTCAACTATTTGGCAAACTTTAAAAGACACTCAACCAACAGTAAAACTCAACGCTATATGAAATGAAGAGCACTTTCAGGACTACATTCTCTATACTAGATATCATATATTTTTTGTTAATTACTGTAGCGGTAATTAGTGTGACTATTACTATTAATGATGTTGATAATAAGAAAAGAAATGGAAACTGTGTATATATCTAAAAATTTTCAGAAAACTAAAGTATAATGACAATTATTAAACATACACTTTAAAAATGTAATAGAATAGAATTAGATTAAATTATTTTTGCAAACTAAAGTTTGTTGCAATTGTGATGATCTAATAAAAAATATAGTAGCAAGACACTTCAGTGTCTTGCAATTATGATTCTCTAGTAAAATATATTAAGATTAAGATTAAGTAGTAATTCCTTCATTTCATTATTGAAATTTGAGTAATTGGATCGAATAAAATATATAGTTCTAATAAGATATTAGTATTACTAGTAATTTCTTTATATCATTATTGGAACTACAGTTCCATGCAGCTCTGATGATCTAATAAAAAAACTAACAGTAATAAAATATTACTAGTAATATGTAATTAGTAAATAATTAGTATTCAATTAATAAAAATCGTTGATAAAATTTTTGAATATGAATGAAGATCTACATTTTAACAATATACAAGTACTTAACAATTTAAATAATTAATCTGAGGTTAATATCTCTAAAGAGGCAGAGATTTATAAAGCTAGTTACATGGGTAATTTCAATTCGTATAGATATAAATTTATACAATACACTTGAACTGATAACAAATTTCCCAAAGATAATAAAAATGATATAACAGAAAGTAACCCACTATCGAATGAAAAACCCCAAATTAATTTGAAAAGTAAAAATTAATTAACAAATCTATAAAATTTTCCCACCTCGACTAGAGGTTACAATTGCACTTCAATATATACAATCTGCTGATGCATACACAAATAATGATGCCTCAATTAATATGTTGCAATAAACCCACACAGCCCATTAAAAAGACTGAAGACAAAAGACCAAAAAGATATTGCCTCATCAACTGAAAGATTACTTGTTGCATTGCCAACATAACAGTTTATCGATGAAGACCAAAGCACCAAAGCCAACCAACAACAAAGTGTCGTAGCAGCAATCAAAGATTGAAAAAAAAATTGCTACAATGCACGTACAATTATTTAAAATACCCTTGGGCCAAGTAAATTAAAGAAACGCCAAGTTTTTAAACAGAAACTGCAGCCAAACTCTACTTAACAAAATGCATAATTTGTACTTAACGCAAGCGGTACATGTACGAGTACTACTAACGCATGGATATATGCTTGGATATATCGAACCTAGTGGATGCATAGGACTTGCATTATGCATAGCACATACTGCACACTGCACACTACAATTATGTTGCAGTGGGCAACATTACAATGCATGCATGAGTCATATGTGTGGCGTATGGCTCAGCTGCAACAATGGCCTCTGCCGGCATTAGTACCGAAACTGGGGCCAAAACGTTTAACTTTGATGTGGGCTTCAAATCTGCGTTCATTATGCGCCCATGTGCAAATTTCCCATTAGAAAAAATTATGTACGTTCAAATTCTATTGCGCAAACGCACGAAGATTTGTAGTACAGTGTTTCTTACCAAATATGTTAGATACTTAGATACTTAGATGCTTAGATGCTCCTATTATTGCAGCTACGGCACAATAACTTTGTTAAATTGTAAACGGAAATTTGCAATTTTTTTACTCATGTATCTTTTTTATATCTGAGCTTTTATTTTTTTATTGTCTCATTTTTTGCTGCCTCCAATGTGCGCAGATGTTCAATTGCTTATTGCCTAGGCATTGGGCTTGATATGTGGCATGCAAAATAATTTTGAATTGAACCAATTTAGTCGCCTAGCAATGTTCAGTTTTGTTGCATAAAATTGCGGAAACGCTGCTTTATTTGTATGTAAAACAAAAAAAAAATTATAAATAATATAAAATTAATATCAATTTGTGGGTTTTGACCAAATAATGCGTTGGAATGTCAAATTAACTCAATTACCATCGCACTTTGGTAGGCGAAAAACCAATTTATTTATTCTTTAAGTTGATGAGGCTGTAATTTTGTTTTACGATTATTGCCATTTAATGGCATTTGTTGTTTCGTTTGGTATCGATTTAATTGATACTTAATAAACCTACTAAAAACGTTTAAAATTGTATCTAAATATATACTACACATTATAATTAATATTATGGTATTTTAAAGAGAATTGTAGATCAGGTGTGTCTCTTTGTTGATTGACGGGATTGGTTATTGGTAACAACAAGCTGACAATTTACTGTCTTATATATATTGTTAAATATTTTAATAAATTCTTGTTACAAAATTAATATCCTCGGTACTGTTATAAATTCAAAAAAGAACCTCACTATTACTATGTTAGGCGCCTAGCCCCACGGACACCAATGACAATGATTCGGCTAAAAGTGACAACTAGCATTACACTCTAGGTAACCGTCAGACTGGCTCATACATGTAACTACGGTAAGCAGTGCTCAGTGATCAGATTAATTCATAGGTATAACTACTAAAAGTAGTCTCCCCTCAGCACAACAGATTACTGGCAGGTTATTTGATGGAGCACAGACAATGAGTTCACAGATCATCTTGCACAGACTGGCTTGTTTATACAAACTTGTGAGCTAGAGCAACTGTGGAACGCCTTAATCAACAACGAAATCTCTGATATGAAATTAAGTTATTACCAAAAAAAATAAATACTGACTTGACACTATAAATAACCGTCAAGCTAGTTCGTATATACAACCACGATATGAAGTCCATCATCTACAAAACAGAGCTAACAGATAACTGATAAGTTATCTGACAAATCAGTGAGTCCGAAAGCAATCTCACAAAAAGTAAGTTAGCCATACAAATCTTATTGTAAAACAAGCTAATTTACAAGAAGGTGTAGATAGAAGAGAGTCCTATAATCGAAATAAATCAACAACTGGCATGACACAATAATGGTTTATGCTCACAATTTATTAGCTATTCTTCATTATCAGTTCAATAAAATAGATCTATCTGAGAAAACATAATACTGACTGTGTTTGAAAATGTATAACAAGCAATAGTAACATTCTCTGTGACAGTCCTGCTTTGATATAAACCAGGACAAGATGATTAGGTAAGAAGATTCTATTCCCTTATGATATTAGTATTTCCTTAACAGCTGCCGTTTTGCTTTCCATTCCGAATACCGAGTGTTTTCTATTGGTTGGTTCGTCAAAATTACAATAGCCCGTCGTTTCTCTATAGCACAAACTTCAGGTTGGCAGATTTTTGACGTACCATCATATTCTGCATCACCATTTCAACAAAACAAAAGAAAACTAAATGTTAACTCAGCTTAAAAACAAATAAGACTTAAATTTATATTCCAATTCACATAGTTCAACTTTTATCTAGACTAGGAGCGCTGCGAGATTTTGGGATGTTAGATGTTATTCTCAACAACTGATATTCTGTAGAGGATAAGGAACAGAATGTATCTGCTTTTGTTTAAGAAAAGAGAGTGTTGACTTGTGTAAGAAGCAAATAAGCCTTCTAGTCACATTCCTATTCACATTGTCCAGCTTTTATCTAGACTAGAAGAGCTGAGGGATTTAAAATCTTAGATGTTATCCTCAACTAGCTGATATTCTGGATTTAATTCGAAGGTGTGAATGTTTTCGTTACCGATTTGAAAATCATGTTCATCATATACATATTCATTATAAATAAGAATATTGCTACTCCCAAAATAAATGTTCATCATAAGTAAGAATACTGCTACTCCAAAAATAAGGCTATTAAAAATAAATAAATTAGAGCATTCTGTTTTGAAAAGCATTATTTATAATTTTATTATTAATTTGTACCGACGGCACTTGAATCATAACTTTAATTTTATATAAAGATAAGAATATTGATTTTTATTTATTGAATTTTATTTATTTAATTTAATTTATTAAGATCACCGATGATGGGTATTTGACAATACTCGAAACAGCTGTGTGGTCAGATAAAAATTTAATAAATTAAATTTATATACAAAATTTAACATAACTTTTAAAAAATATAACAAAGAAAATAATTTATATATAAATATATTTCATAACCTATTGTGTCAAGCACAATGTAATTTTTTTTATAAAGCAGTAGCGGATTTTATTAAAGTAGCCTTAATTTGCAAATGATTCACTTTCGATTTCGCATGCAGTTTTTAGCACCTTTATGTGTACATTTGTATTATTTCTTTATATTTTTTACTTTTTTTCTTATATTTTTTTAAGTTAACAATGCATTATTAAATAAATAATTTATTTATATATCTTGGAAATAAAATATCTACAAAGCCTGTTAACAGACGAAAACAATGCGACCAGTTTTATTTTGAGTTAATCAACGCTCGATTGTATGCACTTCATTAGCAGAAATGAAGCAATTTAAACAAGGAAACCTTTATGAATATAAACAAAAATAGACAATAATATATTTAAAATAAAAAAAAAAACAGTAAATAGAAAAGTAAAATATATAAATATAGTATCTGCAGATACATTTTTATTTCAATAGATGAATACACATGCAATCGAATATGAGACAGCATTATTTTTGTTGTTTAAATTGCATTCAAAAGTCTACTCTACGATTTCACACTAAAAGTGAATTAAATTTCTTGAAAAACATCAAATGGTTAAAAATTTAATTCAGCTGACAACTTGTCTGAATTAATCGCACATTTAACTAACTGCAGCTAAAGTATCTATTACTGATTTCCGCGTGACAATTCAAAGTGTGCAAATCCATTACTTGCAGCATCTTTGGCGCATTAATAATGTCAGTGTAATACAATCATTCAAATGGATTCGAACAGATACTCGCTATAGCCAATCAATAATTAGTATCTTGAAGTTGCTAGTTTCGCTAGCTCGAAAATTATTTATGCAAATGAAGCGTAAAAATCCTTGAGTTATACTAAAGCATAAAAAAAAACAAAAATAATTGATAGATACTTTGATAAATGCAAGTGAAGTCAGGCATAATTGTCACTGAACATGAAATAAATGAAAGTGATGTAGTAAATTTATTAAAAATAAAAAAAAAAACATAAAAAAACTATAAAAAATTAATAGCAAAAAAATTTTCACTCAAGTAAAATAAATAATAGCAATTAAAAATGAAAATAATTAAAATGGTTGAATGCTATTGACAATAAAAATGAACTCAAATGGTATTTATTTGTATTTCTCTTATTTTTATTATTTATTTCTGTAATTAAATTTATTAACAAATTCAATTTCAATCTTCATTCCAATTCGATTTCGATTCGAGAAAACACAAACGATATTATATGATTTGATTTTGTATTCATTAAAACGCTTCAGGCTAAAAATACTTTAGTACATGATTTATGGCAATTTCAAGTATTTATTTAAATTAATATTGACATTTATTTTAATTAATTTAACTCATTTCTATATGCAGTAAACAATAACAATAAGAAGAGAAAAAAAATAAAAACTCCCACGGAGGTGCTCCGAGTTTATAAATTGTAACCTGGGAAGACTTCGATCGTCTATTGCTGAAGACAAACAGTTGCAAATGATTCTACATGAAATTTGTGTCACAACAACTTTATTAGCGTTAACACCGCTGAAGACGGTGAACACATGTAGCCCGCAAATTGCTATCCGAAAGCAGTTACAGTATTGCCCCAGCTCCATGATATACAAAATGACTAATCTCATAAGTTACCGCGACAAAATTATGCAGTTTTGCATGCAACTGTCTGCGTGTGGAACACATTTATTACCATAAACTAATTAAAATTCTCTTAATTATAATAAATTTACTACAAATTATATATCGCCTTCATTTTCGCATATAACATGAAATTATATTCACACAAAGTTATGCGTTTCATATACAATTACTCAGATCTACTCGCAGATCTACTCGCATTCGTCTGTCTGTAAACATCGCCACAGGCTAGTGTATCTTTAAGTAACTATAAAATTTTTGTAGCATTCCAGATATTGTTTCAACTTATAGTAGCTTGTCTAGGATCATAAATTATGACGCTTTCAAAACTATTTTACTCAATTTAGTTTTTAAATATTTATTTTTTAAGATTAAATTACTTAAAACTTAAATGTGGCAATTAAATTGTCAATCTGTTTTGACAAAAATTATTGGAGACAAGCCACTGCTCTTAAAACACTTAAAAAAGTTTTTAAATGTAATTAACCTTCAGTACAAACTATCAACGTCAATTTATTTTAAACAGAAAAAAAATTGAGGTGTTATTTGAAAGGTTAGACATTTTTTTATAAGAAACTATATGCTCTATATATCTTTTTCGACAGCGTATAGAATTTAAGTCATTTTTATTATCTGACAAAAGTACTATAAGATATGCAAACTATTATTATTTCTTCAATGAGTTTGTATCTTTTCGATAGACGTTTACCCTCAGCAATTATCGTTGTTATTAACTATCTTTATATCCTTAATGAACTTGTATTCCTTGGATGATCGATTATCGTTAGTCATTATCGGACTTAAACTGTTGCCTTTACCCGTTCTTTGGCACGATAAGCTCCTTAACAGATAACGGTTGTAGTTTTTTCTGTTTGTCAGTTATTATCAATTATCATATAACGATTATGTCGTTCAACTGTACCCTGTGGGTCAAAAATATGAACACATGGGCTTATTTTATTCAACATTTGACTCAATATAAATATGATATTAACTGTAGAATCTTTCTACTGCACAGAAATTGAAAAGATATATTTTGTACTTAAAAATTTACTTCTAAAACTATAATTCTCATTAATATACAGAATTTATAGAACTATTATAGAACTGATTTTGTCGACTATTATACCGACAGAATTTCAAAGACATTTAACTCATACCCTGCCTACGTGCCTGAAAATTTGCTTTAATGTGCTTTATGTAGGTATGTTATTTGAGTTTTATTTTCTGTAGTCATTTCAATGAATTTCAATAGCATCTCCTTCCTGAATTACTCAGTTATTATTCGAACTAAAATAGTGTCTGTACTTAATGTAAATAAGTACTTCCTTACTTACTTACTTAGTTGGCCATTACAGACGTGAACCGTCTTTGGTCTCGTCGAATAGCCTCTACCAGCCTGCCCAATCAGTTGCTTGCTCTCGCTAGTTAGTTGCACCGAATCATTGGTCACCTGGTCCTTTTACTAAAGATGCGGAAGTCCTCTACCGCGTTTTCCACCTGCAGGTACCGAATTAAAAATCTTTCTAGCCGAAGCAGTTTTCTCCATTCCATTCTAGCCGGAGAGTACACCATATGTAGATAGTTTTCAAGATTATTATATTAAGTGTTTACTTAGTGACTCTTCTGCTTACAGGGCCCTCATTGTTGTTGAGCATATATCTCTTCATATATTGTATATGAATT